TGTTGAATACCTGGCATAGGATTTGTTTAGCTGTAAGGACGGGTACCATATAATTGTCTTCAAAAGCTGGAAATTCTTACAAGTTCCCCCTCCTCAAAGTTCATTCCCGTAGCACCTTTCCCCCACTGATGCTAGTGACCCCCCTTTGTATGCTAATTACCCCTTTGTTCGAGGCGTTATCACACGTAGGTGTGTTCAGTTAAACACTGAGATTTTCAACATACTACTCTACAAAATGATTTTTTCATATTCTTTTGACAAACTATACTTGACTTTTTTACGGAAAATCATGACACACTTTAATGTGACTTATTCTTAATTTTACCATACTAAAGTAAGACTTGAAAATACTATATCGTTTTCTAGTTTTTTTATATTATACATCCTTATTTATGTTAGTGTGCTGAGAAAACACAATAAGCAATAGCGTTTTAACAAGCAGTTTAAACTGTCTGTGTCAGTTTTACTTATCTCCATATTAAGTGATTATATAATATGACAGTGATCATTTCTATGTTTATTCATTGCAAATACTTAGTTACTTACCACTTGAACTGTTTAGCTCTTCAAGGTTAACTGACCTAATATATACACTTTTTTGTAGTATTGTCACCACGTTCTTAAGAATTATATGGACGAGTTGGCAGCTGCCATGGCTGGACTGTCAATCAAAAGTTACCAGTTATCAAGCGATGGTATGGACAACTTAACAGCTGACTTGGCTAGACTTACTATGAGGAGTCAGCAGGTAACAGATGAGTGTGTGAATGAAATAACAGCTGCCTTCAGAGGACTCTCCACTAATGCACAGCAGCTTCCTGTTAGTGCCTGCACTGAGAATCCTCAAATACAGAGACAAGTCACTTTGTCCACGCTCCCTGAGACCCTCAAGCCCACTAATGCCCAGGTGAATAATATTGACTTGTGTTAGTTTTACTTAAACTTACTTACAATAAGTGATCATAATATGACAGTGATATCTTCTATGTTTATGCATTGCAAATACTTAATTATTTTTTGTTAGTTCTTTAAGGTTATATAACCATATGTTTGTCACCAGGTAACAAGTGATCATTTGGAAAAATGTATCCCAGCCTTTGAAAAAACTCAAAGGGAGAGGACAGTGAAGGCCATGAAGCCAAAGCCAAGACGTGGTGGAGTGCTGCGCAGGTATGTTCTCTAACAGCAACACTCTATTAAACATGTCTTTATTGACTACAGCTTAAGTTCATCCTATCATAAGGCTAAAAAGTATCTTAGTAACAAAAACAAAAGCAAAAAGCATTAATGTTAACAACGCCTCAAAGGGCGGACTCCTGAGTTCCATGGCACTTGGACTATTTACATCATCCAGGGCTCAACACCAGTAAATACACCTCTCTTTATTCGCTCTCCAAGCCTCCAAGGGCGGACTCCTGAGGTTCGTAATGCCCCCCTAACATGACACTTAGACTATTTACATCATCTAGGGAAGCACACCAGTAAATGTAGCCTCATGTAACTTCATATAGGGATTCTTTAATAGTTGTGTGAAGTAATTAAACAATAAGGGGGTATTAAGATCTTTAAATTATCATTTTCCTCTCAAAGAGACTTCGTTGTACACACACACACAAACAAAACAACATTAAATAATGACATGATATTATAGTGATAACACATAATGTGTAGAAAGAGATCTCCTGTATGGGTTGATTGCGCGTTGATCTGTTGGTAAATGCTCATCTATCATTTTCAACCAAGCAGCATGAGGTCAAATTTAATAAGTAATAGTTTGTCACGATTTTACGGGAAAAAGTCAGAGCGCAATGTCACATCTTAAAGACAGCTTGAACTGGATAGATGGTTAGTCTTTTTTCAAACATACCATATGTTCTGCATGTTAGTATATTTGGCCAAATCGGGTTAGGCCCCACTGCCCCACTCCCTCAATAGGGAAGTCACGCTTTGGGAAGAGGTGTTTAATTTCACAGATCTGACTTGATTGCTGTTGTGATGGCTGAAGTAAGAGGGATGGGGGAGGAAAATTCAGAGGGTGAAGAAGCAGAAAGATAACTTGTTTGTAAAACGGACAGCACGTCAGTTTCAGGAAAGATGACACCGGTTTTTAAGCATGACATGCCCAATATCCTGAAGCCCTACAAAAAAAAAAAGTATATTGTGTTGAAAATATCGCAAAAAGCCATAATATTGTATAATGTAATAGTTGCATGTTGTATTTTGATACAAATCACTGTATATTCAAAAATATAATGGAGAGAAAAAAATATATATATATATATATCACAGTATGTTGAAAAATATGAAAAAAGTAATGTTGTGTTAAAATAATATGAAAGAAATCAAAAGTAAAGCATCTAAAAACATATATTTAAAAAAGTAATGTTAGTCAAGTCAAGTTATCAAAACTGCATTGTTTCATCGAAACAGTGTTAAAATCACAAACTCTCCATTTAGAGTTTGATTCTTGAAGAAAACTCAATTCATTACAAATGAATGAATATTTTACCAAGTTATATAGTTTTCCATACATAAACGTGTATCTTACAGTTCCTTTGTGAGAGAATTACGCACAAAATGCAGTATTTTATCTGTTTTATGTGCACTGTTGGAGGAGCCTGTGACCTATGTTTTTTCATTGACATATCTACACTGTAGCTAATGGGCATATGCCATAAAGCCTTGAAACTTGAAACTTAAAATGATCAGAAACTGCATTGTCTCACTGAAAACAGCTCTAAAGAAAACCCAATTCCATACAAAGTACTTAACTTTCTACCAGTTGTAGAGTGGTGCTTACTTCAAAAGTGTATCTAAAAAGTATCTTAGTAACAAAAACAAAAGCATTAATGTTAACAACGCCTCAAAGGGGCGGACTCCTGAGTTCCGTAATGTTCCCCTAACATGACACTTAGATTATTTTCATCATCCAGGGCTCAACACCAGTAAATGTAGCCTCATGTAACTTCATATAGGGATTATTTTATTAAGGGGGTGATGTAATTGAACATCAGAAGACAAGAATAGTCAATTATAATGTCTACACATAATGTGTAGAAAGAGATGTCCTGTATGGGTTGATTGCGCGTTGATCTGTTGTTAAATGCCTCAGGGTTCCGGTGGGCATGTAAACAAAATGCATAATGCTGTGCTATACTTTGTGGCCTCACCCCGTTGCATAGTGACGCTTATTGTTTAGGTGTCTTTTAATAAGCAGGTAGTCATATCATTAGCTAGAACTAGCTATATCTGATCGTTATGAACATAAACGCTAGTAACGTCTAATCTGACGGGGGGAGACCCGGTGCTGCTGCTGACGGGGGAGACCCGGTGCTGTGGACTATTCGACATGCATCTCTGCATGCGGTGAGCGGAACAAAACACACTCTTCAGATATCACACGTAGCTATTTTAATTACCTCTCAAACTACCTAAACTAGTTATAGATATGTTTTAGTTTTACTGTCGAGTCACTCATTATTGGATGCGCGAGCTGCATGATACTGGCGTGTTGTCGTGAGGGGGAGAGCAGTCCGTTTATTATTCCCGTGTTATTGTAAATTACTGTACACGTTTTGAATAGTTAATTAATCTACTATAATTAGTTGGTTTAATATCGAATCATATCAGTTTGTTTCAAAGCTCATTAAATAACATAGAAGACCTTTAACCGGCACTTTTCTAATTTTGCCCCGGAAGATTTAAACTGTAACGAACATGCCGACCGGACAGGAGGGGGGAGGAGGAGGGGGTTGAGAGGGGTGGGGGCTGAGGAGGGGGGTGGGGGCGACAGGGAGGATGTGAAACCTGCTGTAAGGAGGGGGTGGGTTGAGAGGGTGGGGGCTGAGCGGGGTGGGGGCTGAGAAGGGTGGGGGCTGAGAAGGGTGGGGGCTACCGGTGAGGATGTAACACCTGTATGTGAGGGGGAGGGGGGTGGGCTGAGGGGGGTGGGGGCTACCGGGGAGGATGTAACACCTGTACGCGATAACACCTCGAACAAAGGGGCTCATTAGCATATCAAAGGGCGCTCATTAGCATAATTAGGGGGCGGGACTTAGAAGGTGTGACCTGTCACTTTTTTATGCATACTAATGTGATTGAAGCGGGATTGGTAACACTACTGGCCCTGACACATGTATGCACCTCTACATGAACAAATCCCTAAAAAGCCGCCTGCATGATACAGAAAATGCTCTTTAAACAAAACTCTGAATGGCTATTCCTGCCATTCTAACACGAAAGCTTCATGTAGGCCCATATGCTACAGCAGCTAAAGGGATTCATTCATATTGATAAACTACGTAGGCCTACTCAAATCCATTTAGTTAATGTTATCCAATATTAGTCTTTTTCTAATAGAGTTTAGAGCCTGGATATCTGTACACAAAAAGATCCCATCCTAACCTAAATGATATTATCAATCAAGTCATCAGTTTGCTTTTTCACGGTCAGTGTCTCTGCCTCGTCGTTACAGGCATCTAGATTCTGCCTCAGTTTATCCAGAACCACTGCTAGAGCTCTGCGTTTGGTGAAGGTAGAGCCCCACTTGTTTCCTATAGAGTCCTTTCAGTGTATATCTTTGTTATACAGTGTAACTCAATGAGAGATGATTACTCCTTTGATGTCCTTCTTTCTGCATGTGCTTGAAAACAAAAGCTTTTGCATGCAGACATATATAGACTTGGTAAACCCCACTTGTGCTTTTCATGTCAAAATGAACAGCTTTTTAAAGCTTCCCAAACAAATACATAGGAGAATGTTTTGAACAATGTTTTGATCAACATGTTATACAATAAAACCCATGTACACAGCGTACATTTCCAAACATACAGAAGTGGGCTTGGAAAGCTCAAAATGCACTGAGGTACAGGTGCTAGAAAAACCAAACAAACAGATGCACAACAAACATTAAAAGAGTAATACAAAAAAAGCTAAATGATTATAATAAAATATAACCCAAGCTTTGAGTCTAGAACCATTCACAATACGTTTGTTAATGGTTCCTATACGTTTAACCTGTATCTTATGTGCAATTTTAATTCTGACTTTTTATTTCTGTTGGTGTCTGTCTTTCTTTCTTGCAGTGGAAGCGACTGCTTTACAGCCCTAAACACCTGGTTCCAGTGACAGTGAGTTGTTTTCCTGTTTTAAAAACAAACAAAAAAGCATCCTTTCTGTGTTCAAAATGTCTGTGGTTGAAAATAGGCATGTGCCTTTTGACTACCCCACGTGTGTGTTTCCTACTGTGGCAGCATGTAAACATTTCTGCTGTGAAAACATCCAACAAAAACATTGATTTGAATTGTATACAGTGTGAGGCGTTAGGAAGCTCTTTCCAAAGTATGGAGGAATGATGAGAAACTGAACTGTTTCAGTGTAGTTCTCTCACGACTCTTTCCTCACAATCAGATTGGTAAAAGGCTTGAAGTGAACACATACAGTTTCTAGTGAATCGAGAATAATGTACAACTGTTGTTGGATAACTGGCTGAACAGGATTCCAAATCTTTTGCATCATGGATCCAAGGATGGCAGTTGGAACACACCCCATGTGGTATGTTCTCTAAAAACACCAGAACAAAGGAACACGCACATATCTTAAAGTTAAAGAGATAGAAGTACAGGAAGTACTGCATCCATCAAGTGAAATATGTAACGTGAGTCATGTCTGCCTCTCTGCAGTGAGTCGATCATTTATCCACCTCCAGGAGAAAGGGATTGTTTTCTTTTGGATTATGCACAAACATAATATAAGTCTTTATTTATATATCACTGTTCTTTACACTGTTAAAAATAGGAATCCTAAAAACAGAGGAGGATGAAACACATGACAGCCCGCCTGGCACGTAACATTAACAAAAACAAAGTACATAGGAGCATGGGACCATTGTTTTAAGATGTACTTGAAAAAAAAGATGAACAACCAAATTGTGAAGCTTTGAATCATAAGTGATCTCATGCCCAAAGCCAAGCTCCAGGTTTAGCAAGCCAATCACAGCATGCCTGTTAATGTGTCCGACATTCAACCTGTGTTTCAAGTTATTATTCTGTCTCATTTCTTACTCAGTATCTTAATGCTGTGGTTTTATTCAGACTGATTACAGAACCTAATCGTTTGTAGATCATTGAACTCTAAATGTCTGCTTGCAGATAAATTAGTGACACATTTACAATATTTAATTTGAATGGCTATTCCTGCCATTCTAACACGAAAGCTTCATGTAGGCCCATATGCTACAGCAGCTAAAGGGATTCATTCATATTGATAAACTACGTAGGCCTACTTAAATCCATTTAGTTAATGTTATCCAATATTACTCTTTTTCTAATAGAGTTTAGAGCCTGGATATCTGGACACAAAAAGATCCCATCCTAACCTAAATGATATTATCAATCAAGTCATCAGTTTGCTTTTTCACGGTCAGTGTCTCTGCCTCGTCGTTACAGGCATCTAGATTCTGCCTCAGTTTATCCAGAACCACTGCTACTAGAGCTCTGCGTTTGGTGAAGGTAGAGTCCTCTGGTCTGAAACCAGGAGGTCTATGTCTGCGTAATACTTACCCTCCACATCCCTGTAGCTCTAACCGGTGGGTTTGCAGCCCATGAACACATTTTAAAAGCTCAGTTTTAATCAGCTCGTTTCTCAAAGCCTGTTTGTTGGCAGTGCGAACCAATTTTCATCTGCATGCAGCGTCTTCTTTGTAACATTCCAAGTTTCACTGCAGCCGCTTTCACACCAAGTACTTAGCCGGTACTTGTACCCGCTACTTGTTCCCCCCGAACTCTTTAGTCCTTGGAACTGTCCTAGTAGATCGCGTTCTCACCGGAATAAGTCACAGAGGGAATAAAGCCGCATTTATCTGTGACTTTCTGTTTGTGTAAGAACGTGTGTGTGTGTGTGTGTGTGTGTGTGTGTGTGTGTGTGTGTGTGTGTGTGTGTGTGTGTGTGTGTGTATGTGTGTGTGTGTGTGTGTGTGTGTGTGTGTGTGTGTGTGTGTGTGTGTGTGTGTGTGTGTGTGTGTGTGTGTGTGTGTGTGTGTGTGTGTGTGGATCAGAGTGACAGGTGACGCTCGCTGCGGCGATTAATCACCCTTCAAAATGCTTCTGACAAATGAAGCTGCTGGGTCGCATCTCCTGAGTAAATCCCCAGAACGCCGACACCTCCTCATCTCCACCGCTCCCATGTTTTATTTTGTGTTGCCATAAGTTAGTCTCTCTCCGTTGATGCGCTGGGCTAATGCTAATGCAGGCAAATAAAATGGCGGCTTCACAAAACCTTTCAGAGTTTTACGGGGCGTGGTTTGCAATTCGCCCAGCCAATCAGAAATTGTTAGTGTGGCCGACACACCCACGAACCTTTTCCTCCCCAAGAAAGTACCACCTCTCTAGCAGGGACTATCTGGAGGTGAAAAGGTTGGCACGAACTAGGGACAAGTTCCAGATCTTTTTGGTGTGAAACCGAATCCCCCCCCCCTATCGGCCTAGTTCGGGGGGAAAAGCACTCCGGTGTGAAAGTGCCTTATGACCCAGCCGTGTGTCAATGAGTTGATATTATATAGATGTTACATAAAGTGCTGCCTTCACATGCATTCGGTAATACTAACACCAAGTAACTATCCCAATCATATAGCCTTGGCTGTAGGCACTAAAAGCTTTATTTACAAGAGATAAGATATCTTTCAGTAGGCTGCTCTCCTGGCAGGCAGACCGACCTTTGGCTTTGTCCACTGAGGGTTGTCTATTGTCACTTTCTAAACCATAAGCATTGAAATATAAGTGCAGTTACTCAGTAAGGTAAGGCAAGGCAAGGCAAGGCAAGTTTATTTATATAGCACCTTTCAACACAAGGCAATTCAAAGTGCTTTACAAAAATGGAAGACATTAAGAAAATGGCATTTAAAATCAGTCATTAAAAAGAAAAGATAATAAAATAAACATTAAAAGAAAAAATACATGGATAAAAGTTACAGTGCAGTTTAAGATGTGAATAGTTCAATTAAAAGCAGCGGCAAAAAGAAAAGTCTTCAGCCTGGATTTAAAAGTAGTCAGAGTTGCAGCGGACCTGCAGGTTTCTGGGAGTTTGTTCCAGATATTTGGAGCATAATAACTGAACGCTGCTTCTCCATGTTTAGTTCTGACTCTGGGGACAGAAAGCTGACCAGTCCCTGAAGACCTGAGAGTTCTGGATGGTTCATAATTTAGCAGTAGGTCAGACATGTATTTTGGGCCTAAACCATTCAAAGCTTTATAAACCAGCAACAGTATTTTGAAATCTATTCTTTGACACACAGGAAGCCAGTGTAAAGACTTCAGAACAGGAGTGATGTGATCCACTTTCTTAGTGTTAGTGAGGACTCGAGCAGCGGCGTTCTGAATTAGCTGCAGCTTTCTAATAGATTTGTTAGTGAGACCTGTAAAGACACCATTACAGTAGTCCAGTCTACTGAAGATAAAAGCATGGACAAGTTTCTCCAGATCCTGCTGTGACATTAGTCTTTTAATCCTGGATATATTCTTTAGGTGATAGTAGGCTGACTTAGTAACTGTTTTAATGTGACTGTTGAAACTCAGGTCAGAGTCCATGACTACACCTAGATTTCTGGCTCTATCTGTTGTTTTGAACATTGCAGACTGAAGCAATAGCACAGTAGGGGTGTATCATTAGATTACTAAGGCTTATCAGTTTTACGATAGCGAGAATCTATTTAGGCTAAGTTGTCTTTATTCTTGTTTTTACAATCAGCACTTGAAAAAATAGGCAATTGCAAACGACAAGGTATGAGAAAATGAGATGCAAGTCACCATGGCAACACTGACAAATAAATGTAAATCGTGTCTCAAAAAAATGTGAATACGAATAAAAAACCTATACTGTGCATGCTCATTTCCGTAACCACTACGTTGGCATGTATAATGTTTTACAGTCTGTTGCAAAAATACAAACGGATTCAGGCTCTCTATTCATAGTGAAATAAACACTGACGTTTAGGTGCAGTTCTGGGACAAGTATTCAGACATGTTGGTTCACGTGCTGTAGGGAGGGGCGCCCTGCTTCCTCTCGAGCGCGGCAGCAGTCGGTTCGAGGGATAAGGGAATGCTCTGGTTTTTGGACAAAATTAACATGGGATCACTCCCGTCACCGGACGTACTTCGTCTCACTGGAATAGTAACGGTCATAGTGAATATAAAATCGTCCCCATGTATCCGGCCAATGACGGGAGAGTTTTGAAAGAGACAAAACACTGTTCCATACATTTAAAAACACTTAAACAATTAAACAATGTTTACCTGCCAACAAGCAGCAGTGTGCTGTCATTTCAAACATGTTACCCCACTGTTTAACACAGTTTTACCTGTGTTTTGAAGACTCTTTCCTGGGTCAATGTGTCCTCTTTCTCCCCCCCTGGGTGTGTGTGAGACAAGTCAAGTGAGTCAGCCTGCCAACAAGCAGCAGTGTGCTGTCATTTCAAACATGTTACCCCACTGTTTAACACAGTTTTACCTGTGTTTTGAAGACTCTTTCCTGGGTCAATGTGTCCTCTTTCTCCCCCCCCTGGGTGTGTGTGAGACAAGTGAAGTGAGTCAGGCTGCCAACAAGCAGCAGTGTGCTGTCATTTCAAACATGTTACCCCACTGTTTAACACACTTTTACCTGTGTTTTGAAGACTCTTTCCTGGGTCAATGTGTCCTCTTTCTCCCCCCCCTGGGTGTGTGTGAGACAAGTCAAGTGAGTCAGCCTGCCAACCAGCAGCAGTGTGCTGTCATTTCAAACATGTTACCCCACTGTTTAACACAGTTTTACCTGTGTTTTGAAGACTCTTTCCTGGGTCAATGTGTCCTCTTTCTCCCCCCCTGGGTGTGTGTGAGACAAGTGAAGTGAGTCAGCCTGCCAACAAGCAGCAGTGTGCTGTCATTTCAAACATGTTACCCCACTGTTTAACACACTTTTACCTGTGTTTTGAAGACTCTTTCCTGGGTCAATGTGTCCTCTTTCTCCCCCCCCTGGGTGTGTGTGAGACAAGTCAAGTGAGTCAGCCTGCCAACCAGCAGCAGTGTGCTGTCATTTCAAACATGTTACCCCACTGTTTAACACACTTTTACCTGTGTTTTGAAGACTCTTTCCTGGGTCA